TTTTTTTTTTTTTTTTTTTTTTCGTCTCTCACGTAATTTTTCTTTTGTCTGTCTGTTTGTTTTTTTCTCTTTTTTTTTTCTTTTTCTTTTTTCTTTTTTTATCTTTATTTTTCCCCACAGCAAAAGAAAAAAGACGGATTAAATATATATATGTATATAAATAAATAAAAATAAAAATAAAAATAAATCAAATTAATCAATTAATAGAACTTCACTCATGGGTTGCGTTTATTCTTCTTCCTTTACCGACGATTAAAGCTCCAGTCTTGGAATGCCTACTTTCCCCTTATCCAGCCCAAACTTCGCCACATTATCCGGGGAATTTTCCCAATTGTCCTGTGCCGGGGGAAGGTAGGACCGCATCAACTGCCGATAATCGGTGATCTTTCTCGTCTGTAGATATAAGTGGTGGAGATTCCAAATCCCCACAACTCGGGCGTGTTTAGTACAATCTACGAAATAAGCGATCTATACAGAGTACCACCGTCCATCACTCATTGGATGATTTACGTTTGGGTCATGAGGATTTAAACTCCACGGCATCCCGAATCGGTATTCATCCACGTTTGTCAGATTTGAAGGAAGTATGTATACCAACATATGAACATGGGAAGCGAGACATGCCGTTCTCAAAATAGAATCTTTTTAAGAATGTATTCAAATTGACCGAACTTGTTATCGAGAACGAAGAAGAAGACGGAGTCACAGATATAGTGTTGTATCCATGTAGATCTCAAGGTCGGGTGAGAAGCACCTTTAAGCTCGGAGTCCAGAGTTTACAAACCAGTTAGCCTAGCCACCTCTCAATTCACCTGTGCTAAGCTATATAGTACTGGGATCATGATACGGAGTATCGAGGTCACGATTGGGGCGGCTAAGACCTTTGCCGGAAGTTCTGGGGGGAAGGCGGTGACGTTCGACACCTCTACCGGATGGTTGTACTCTGCCGCATCAGTATTGATATATCCGATCACACTACCTTAAGACCAATCTTAGTGCTAACTGAGTGATTTCTGGAGTTACTACACCCACCAACTACTGCAGCTGTGCAACGGGCTTCTTCCACAGTCACAGCATGCTCGCTGTGAACCGTTGCATCGTCTCAATGCATATGCGCCCCGATTATCTACTACATCCTTATCACGTTATCCAGCTCGTGTAGTGGATTCAGGTCACCATCCTAAGCCAACTTGCCCTCCAGCTGAAGCATGGTTCCACTTGTGATTGTTCGTTGAAGATAGTTTGGATTGCCGGACGTCCGCTTACAGTCCATCTTCCAGTGGGTTCCTAATTTAATTGACTTTGAAATACGCAAGCCTAAGAGGCATTATCTATCGGCACTATGTCTCAGTCTTTAGGCCGCGAGTGTCACCGTAACGTCAGTCCCGATGCTTCCTTAGTACTGGTTGGGATCCGAGGTTGTGGAAAGCGCTCGTTGGGCTTTGTTGCTGCAACGGTGTTGAAAAGACGCTTCATCACCGAGGATCACTATTTCAAGCAGGTTACTGGGCTAACGCGACATGAGTACCTTAAGCGCTTTGGGAGCCAGGAGTTCCAAAAGCGTGATATCGAGGTTCTTAAGATGATGCTGGACAAACATCGATCGGGCTGCGTAATCGAATGCGGTCTGGGGAGCCTTACTCGTCCCGTGCAGGAATACCTTCGTTTGTATTCATTGACCAATCCTGTGGTGTATGTGGTTCGTGATATGGCCCGCATTCAGACTCTTTTGGGATTGGAAGATCAAGCTGTTAAATTGCTTTGTGAAGGGGACCCCCTACATCGGATGTGCTCGAATTTTGAATTCTATAATATCGAGGACCGTTCCAGCATGTCACCTCAACTCGACGAAGTAACACCCGACCGTCGATCAGCCGGGTATTCGTTCAAGCTCAAAGAAGCTAAAGAGGACTTTACTCGGTTTGTGCGGTTTATTACTGGTGCAGATGTCAACCATTCGAGTTATGACTCCCCCTTCGTACTGCTGGAAACCCCTCCTGAAAACCGTTCCTTCACACATGCTATCTTCGTTCGATCCTCTGAAATGATTCAGGAGGGTGTCGACTTGTGCGAGCTCGAGTCAGGAGGAGACGCTATCGAGCTTTGTGTGGATCGTTGGGATACAGAGATGGCGAGTACTGTGAGCAAGCAGGTTTCTTTACTCCGCAGGAGTGCTCGCACGCCGATTATCTTCTCAATCGACGCCTCAACATCCGGAATTGGCAGCGGTACACTCTCCCCGGCACAGCTGCGCAGCCTCTACTTCGAAATCGTGGAACACGGCTTGCGACTAGCGGTAGAATACCTGGCCATAGACCTCGATCAAGACAAATCGTTGTTGGCCGAAACCAGTCGTAATAGGGGCATGACCAAGATTATTGGCCAGCATATATTCAAGCCTTCATCCAGTGTAATGTGGGATGACGAATCGTGCCTGTCTGTCTACCTTGAAGCCGAGAAGCTCGGTTGTCAGCTCGTTCGCATTCTCAGAGTAGCAGCGGAGCGCGAAGATAACGCGGCTGTCGCCAAATTCACAAACAAAATTCACTCTCTACCGGGTGAACATCCGCCTATCATTGCCTACAACGTAGGCAGCCTTGGACGAACATCCCAGGTGTTCAATTCAACACTCACTTCTGTCACTCACCCAGCGATTAGGCGCCCCACAAGCAATAGAATAGACCCTCTGATTACTTCACGGGATGCGGTACAGGCGTTGTTTCAAAGCTATGTGCTGGACCCTCTGCAGTTTTATATACTGGGGGCTAGCGTGGCCTACAGTCTCTCCCCAGCTATGTACAATGCTGCTTTCCATCACTGTGGCATGAGCCACACCTACAGTATTCCCGCATCTCCCTCTCTCACGGCTTTAGACAAGCTGGGCCGAGACCCGCATTTCGGAGGTGCTAGTGTTGTCCAACCATGGAGGGTGGAGGTCTTCCAGAAGCTCTCCTCGAAAAGTCGACATGCAGAGGCAATCGGAGCGATTAACACGATTATGCCTTTGCGGGCGCGAGCCGATGGGACGATGTTCCCTCTGCAAGAGCAGGCTAGCCGTCGCAATCAGGCGGGGCCCGTACTGGGTTGGTACGGTGAGAATACAGATTGGGTGGGAATCATGACCTGCATGAATCGCAATCTTTCCCCACGTAACGCCATTAGTCCATTGAAGACGACCGGGTTGGTAATTGGAGCGGGCGGCATGGGGCGTGCTGCCATTTATGCCATGCTTCGTCTAGGATGTCGCAAGATCTTCATATACAACCGCACCTTATCCCGTGCCGAGAATGTAGCCCGTCACTTTAATTCATGGGCTGCCTCGCAGGTTGGTTCTACAAAAGTGGTGCATGTGCTGAAGTCATTGCAAGATGAGTGGCCGTCAGATACTTGTCATCCGTGTTTGATTGCGTCCTGTGTACCTGCCGACCCGGACCAAGATGAACCTCCAGCAAACTTCGAGATGCCGATGCAATGGCTTGAGAGTCCTACTGGTGGGGTGGTCTTAGAGGTAGGTCTTTCTCTCCCTCGTTTTTCTCCATTCTTCTCTCCCACCCCTCAGCGACTCTACTAATGACCAAATAATAATGAACTTACTGAATCCTGGACATAGTTTGCATACAAACCCCTAGAGACCCCGCTCTTACGTCAAATGCGTCGTTTCCGTAGTGAAACTGGACGGCCGTGGGTTCTGGTAGATGGACTCGACAACGTCATTGAGCAGGCCATCGCTCAGTTTGAGCTGCTGACGGGACGGAAAGCGCCACGGCGACTGATGACTCTGGAAGCACTTCGGAATTATGTCGGGGAGCATGGACGATTTGACGAGGAAACAGTTCAGGCGCGACTTGACGGGGTCTAGTAGCGCGCGGTCGTGGGTCGGCCGTGAAGAGGCTTGATATGCATCGCCTATCGAATGTATCATTATGTATTTCGTACTACAGAACCATAGACTGTACACGGATAAAATTACAATACTAAGACCAACCATATTGTAATTTCAAATCCCAGGCTCCCCGGGTGGCAGCGATCACGTGCGCCGAAGTGGACTGCGAGCCGCCGATTCAACAATCAGGACAATTACGGACGCGCGTTCAAACATCTCCTTGGAGTATATGCAACCTTTGCATCTGAATCCAGCAATGGCTCACTGTTTTGCTCAACTGCACCACTGAAAATGGCCATTAAGAAGGTGCCGAGACTCCCTTATCGCAGAGGCTCTCAATCCTCCGAAGATGACTTCTTCGATATCCCTGACGAACCATGCCTCGCAATCGCCAAACGGCAACTCCGACGCGTTCGGACATGGGTGATCTTCGCCTTCCTCGTCTGCTTTTTAGTGTGGCTCCGGCGGGAGCGTCCCCAACCCGCGGCCCTGTCTCATATAAATTACGATTCAGTGGATTGGTCCCGTTATGCCTATAGCCAGTATGCGACCTCTAGCGCCTATCTGTGCAACGCTGTCATGGTGTTCGAAGCCCTGCAACGGCTAGGAAGTCGGGCACAACGAGTATTATTCTTCCCTGAAGATTGGGATGTCAGTGTCGAAAGCGAGCGTGATAGGGATAGCCAATTGTTGGCGATGGCAAGAGATCAGTACAATGTGATGCTGATTCCCATCACCTTGGAGACTATCAAACCGGGGGCAGGTGTGTTGTGGCAACCGAAAATTATTGAGGTAAAAGCAAGGGCTAATGTGGTTTACATTTCTTGACAGGATCTGGAGAATCATGGGATAAGAGTATCTCTAAATTACTAGCCTTCGGCGAGAGCGAGTACGATCGGATAATCCACCTTGACTCCGACGCCAACATTCTACAGAACATGGATGAGCTATTTTTCCTTCCTCCGACCAAGGTTGCGATGCCGCGGGCGTACTGGGGGCTTCCGGATACCAAGCAACTGTCGTCTCTGCTAATTGTGATCGAACCGTCCTACAATGAATACAATGCTCTGATGGAGGCGGCGCTTCCGGCTATGTACGGACAAAAAGCGGTCAATACATCATCGACACAGAGATACGACATGGAGTTATTGAACGAACGTTATGCCGATTCCGCCACCGTGCTTCCGCATCGCCAGTACGGCTTAGTGAGTGGCGAATTCCGCACAGAGGACCATAGAAATTTCCTGGGCAATGACTATGAAGTCTGGGATCCGGATAAAGTGCTATCAGAAGCCAAACTTGTGCATTTTTCAGACTGGCCTTTGCCTAAACCATGGGTTCTGTGGCCGCAGAATTTGCTGGCTGAGATGTTGCCCAAGTGTAAACACAACCCTGGCACAGCACAAGAAAGTGGGTGTCGTGATCGAGAGGTGTGGAAGAGTATCTATCATGACTTCCGGCGGCGGCGAAAGGTTTGTGCTGCTGCATCCTTACTTCGGCATACGACTTTATTAACAGAGCAATTAGGACATCTGCAAACTTTTAAGTTATCCGGCCCCTGATTGGCCTCCACCGGAGCATTCTGAGTCTTCCGGCTCAAATGAATCTGTATAATGCATATTTGATAGAGCATGATCGGCGTTGATGGGTTTACACACGGGCCAGCATTATATGGAATTCAGATAGACTGTCCCATTTTATCATAATAAATAGCCGTAGAATCCACCCTGCATTTAGGGAACAGGTGCATTCCCAACTGACCTCACCTCATTCTTGTTAAATAAATAGGGGTGGGTATCAAGGTTTCAACTGGTATGGCAGCATACTTGGGCTTGGGGATTAAACAAATATGCCTGAAGATGAGACATAAGGAAAAGGAGGGGCAACCGTTTCATTTTGAGAAACAACAATCGACCCTTTGCTCTCCTTATCATATCTGCACTAAAGCCATGATGATATTAACGGGTCGCAGAAGACGTGGCATCGCAACGATCCTGTCGCTTGTCTTATGCCACTCAGCTGCGAGTAGTTCTGGTCCGACGGAAGATCTGTTCACTTTCAGCTGTTTGCCATTGACAACCCAACGGTCTGATCCGATCATATCCCCGGGAAAACCCTCCTCACACACACACGTAGTTGTAGGGGGCACAGCTTTTCAGAGGCTGATGACAACCGACACCGCGAGAAATGCCAACGACACAACCTGTGAGCTTGCGATAGACCGGAGCAATTACTGGATTCCTCAATTATATCATCAGACGCGAGATGGGTTTGAAACAATCGAATTTGAGAACAGCGTATGTTGTAAACTATAGTGGAGGATTCCCGGACGGCAACTGACATAGTAAACCAGGCTATTTATTATTTCAACAGAGCATGCGATTATTCCCCGAACGCAACATCCTGCGATGGTACAAAATACCCGCTGGCGCCACCCCCCGGGCTACGCGTAGTTGCTGGGGATTTATTTCTCCGGTCAGAGGTTCTGGATCGAGCAGTTTAAGGTGCAAAAGCTGATGTTATCATAGAACGTATAACGAGACGAATTTCGCACAGCGGGCCATCTCCCACATGTGCATGAAGGATGATGGAACTTCAAGCGAAACAAAACATCTTCCACAGCAGTCATGTCTGAAATTGCGATCGCAAGTATTCTTCCCCTCATGCTGGGATGGGAAAGCCCTCGATAGTCCAGACCATCAGAGCCACGTGAGTGAAGCATCGACGGTTATGACATGCTCTAGACTGAGATTAAATTAGATGGCCTATCCCGCGGTTGGGGATTATAATCAGGGTGTTTGCCCGGAGACCCATCCGGTGGCAGTGTACTCGATATTCGTGGAATTCTTCTTTAACACGGAGCCCTTTCCGGACTATGAGAATTGGGTGTACGCTATGGGCGACCCCACAGGGTATGGTCTGCATGGAGATTTCCTCAACGGCTGGACAGACCAGAACGCACTGCAGAATGCTATGGCGACATGTACCGGCCTGGAGGGGCTGAACGATCCGGAATGTTCGATCACAAACAACCAAACGAGGGCACTGACTCCAATCACACATGCTTTGGATGTACCTCCTCCGTTGGAGCAATTGGGTCAGCATGGGCCTCTTTCCAAACTGCCAGGTAATAATCCGATCACGGGATCACACGAGCTGCAGTGACCGATGAGACATTGAGTTCTCTGCTCAACTTTTTTGCAACAAATCTCTCAAGACCATCGCACTCTCAAATACGAGATCTTGATTAATAATGCATTAGCACATTCTGAAGATCCATATTGGACAGCCTAGCTAGCCGTATGAATCCGCCAGTCTTAACTGTGTTGCGATCGCTCTTCGGACATTCCCACGGTTATATGATAAGAAGTAAACTGTTTCAAGACAGGCCACACCACTCGCAAGAGCTCTGCAGGATATGTGCTGTCGATTATGAATAAGTTTTAGTCCAGATAGTGCAGCGTAACTCGCCAATCAATTCACATATCCCATTCCCTTCCTCCACCATCTCCAAACACCGCGATCTTCCATTAGGCTTCCGAACTCCTTGACTGTCTCGACCTCTTCCAGACCAGCGACAGAATCTCTCCCTCCATGCTCTGATCGTCCATTACTTTTGCCATCCCGCTGTTTCTTATTCTCATTCCGATTCTGACGATCTTTCTCAAGAAGTCCAGGCCTAGCCACTAGCTGGAAATCCTTATATCTCAGATTCCGCACCACGCTCACCCATGCCTCAACAGCTTCCTTCTCTTTCGATTCCACATACATGATTCCAGGAATCCCACCAGAGCGAAGGAGTGCAAAGCAATTGTGAGCGGATGCAGCTTGTTTCAGCGCAGCAACCTTCTTGCGGGAGGTAATGTGGTGGGTGCGGATGAGGGCGTTATAGAGCATTGTTACATCTGTTTTCTTCCTCTTGATTTTAAGTCTCAGGGTCTCGGAGGGAATTGAGCGGTATCATCGTGGCTAGTAAGATAATAAATAGGGTCGCCCTATCTCACATTTCTGGTGTTGTTTGGTAGGGGAGACGGGTGACCCCAACAACACAATCAATCAATATAAATTTAATTAAATCTACCCGTGATTTCACTGGGCAGTGCCAGCGGATAACCAAAATAGGTATAGCGTACGTTGGAACTTAAACTGGTACAAATACTTATGTACGGAGTACGGACAATCTGGAAGACCGAGAGCTATGGCGGGTCTTAAATAGTAAATAGGACCAGGCACCGACAGTATAGATCTAGACATGTTTCACTATAAGTTGGTACATACAAATATTATTTATTACCCGCGCCAGTGGAAAAAGTTTGTGGCTCACTGGGAGGTAAATGTGGGCCTCGTCTCTCGTATACAGTATACTCATATACCGTACCTAATCACCTGACGCCCGGCCCCACCTGACGCCCCATTTTTTGATATACACCGACTTTTCGATACTTTTCAAATCATTATAACTCTGTCAATATGGCTTCAATTGAGGTAGCGATAGCTGAGATCGAAAGCCTAAAGCCAGGAGAGAAGATAAATTATATAAAAACTGTCAAAAAGTATAGTATAAGCAGGTCTATACTATCTCGATATTATTGTGGTATCCAATATACTTGAGCAGAGTAATATAATAATTAACAAATTCTTAACAATGAGCAGACTAAAATACTTATAAAATAGATCAATAATTTAACTAATAAAGGTCTTTCCCCTATACTTAAGATACTACGAAACTTCGCTAAGGAAATTACTGGAAAAAAGTCAGGAAAATAGTGGCCAACTCGATTTTTAAAAATATATAATAATTAGCTTACTGTCTGTTATATAACTGGGATTAATTTCTAATATAAGTAAGCTGATTCAGTATATAAATACTTACTTTACTTTAAGTTAATAGTTAAGAAGCTTAAGAAATATAATATATAGTCTGAAGATATATATAATATAGATAAGAAAGGCTTTCTTATTAGAGTATTATTAAAAGGTAAAAGAATTTTTTCTTGTTCTAAATTTAAGTAGAGAGAGTTTAAGTAATACCTTTAGAATAGAAATAAAGAATAGATTACTATAATTGCTTATATCTCTGTAGATAGAAATTTTCTTTTCCCGAGTCTTATATATCAAGCTGTCTCAAGTAATATATAGGATTTCTGGTTTCAGGATTTTAATTCTGAGTATTATATATATTTTTTTATATTATTCTCTAGTGGCTGGATAAATAATAATATTGGATATACCTGGCTTACTAATATCTTTAATCGAGAAATAAAGAAAAAGACTCGAAGGTATTAAAGGCTTCTAATTTTTGATAGCCACAGATCTTATATAATAATAAAGTTTATTAATTTTTATAATAAAAATAAGATTCTTTTGGCTATCTATCTATTTTATTTTATATATATACTGTAGCTGCTGGATATTAGTATCTTTGGTTCTTTGTCTACAGTGTATAGTGCTGAATTGGAGCAATTTTTATATAATTATCAAGGAATAAGTTATATTATAAAATAAGATTTCTTTTAGCTCTTTTGGTCAGTGTAGAATACTGCTTTATTAAAGAAAAATATTAAAAGTATATAGAATTCTGTTGGTTTATATTCTTGGAATTCTGAAAGGATATTAATATATTTTATTAAAAAAAATAGTACTAGACTATTATCTAGTAATTTATCTAATTCTGTCCTAAGTATAGAAAATTAGAGATATATTGAAAGACTTTTTTAGTAGACAATTTCTGATATCTATAATAAAAAGGCTCAAAAGCTCAGTTCTATTATGTACTCTCTTTCTATCAAAAATATTCTGCTTAAGCTGTGTTGTTCAGATTTTAAAAAGGTCTTGAAAAATAAGCAGAAAAAATATTAGTATAGAAAATTATTTCTATTTGATTTATATACTTTGGAAGATAGTAATATAATTTTTTACTTATCTAATAAGATTTAAAAAGCTCGGAATCTTTAGGCTTAGAAAGATAAAGCTATATAACTTAATAAAACTGTTAAGTAAGATAGAAAGCTTTGTCAGAAATAGAAAAAGAAAGAAAAGCAGCTTTTAATAGAAGAATACAAGAGAATCCGAGTTTTAAATAAGGAGATATATAAGTAGATAAATATTTAAAAGCAGTACTAAAGAGAAGAAGAAAAGCTTATTAAAAAAGCTAATCTATAGCTTCAAAATAATATAAATCAGACTGCTAAAGATAAGACTAAGGTCCCTATACTGTCAACTCCAAAAATTAGAAAGGATATTAGTAATTAAAATAAGGTTGTTGTTGCAGAGGCTTTATATAGTATAAATTGTTGGGGTAGGTAGATCTGTCTGTCTGTATATTTTCGGGATTATTAAAATAGTTATATAGATTTTATATAGTTCAAATATTAAATTACCAAGAAATCATACAATAGTAAACAATATATGTGGTTGTAGAGCTTTATCTTTAACTCTGGTTTTCATAGGAAATCGGGCGTCAGGTGGAGGCGGGCGTCAGGTGATCAGGTACGGTATGTATCGAGTCCACTAATAGCAAATGTAGTTTACCTACCTAAGAAGCACCGTGCTAGTATTTATACTAGCTACAATCACTCACTATCGCCTACTATCACCATACTTTTCCCACTCGGCATTCCCAAGCCATGCTGTCATTCCCCTTCCCTTACTAATAATATCATCCCGTTACCTACTACTACCTACCTTAAGGTAGTTAGGTTCGCGCTTCCGCTCTTGTCGACGAGAAATTCCGTGCATGCCCACCAGAAGATGTACGCCAAGATATGCCAATCCCACCACTCCTGCAATGACTGAATATGCAATCTTCGCATTTAAAGGAGCACCGGGATGCAAGCGGAAAGCAAGGCCTGCATTGATAGTACCAGGAAGAGGAACCTGAGAGACCAGCTTAGGCACTGGAGGGAAACGGCCTCGCCCCGAGCGAGGGGATAAGGTCACATTACGAGAGGAAGCCGAGTAGAGGATGAACATATTAGCCCTAGTCATCTGCGATCATTGGCCTAGTCCGACCCAGTGTAGGGTATTTGAGGCCTTCCTATTCACCTATCTTTTTGTTCCTGATTCCTTTGTTATGCCCGACCATATTACCTCTCCAAAGATATTGCCTAAAATGGTAATGCAGTGAATACTCGGGTACCTACTTAGGCAACCATTATTCAATGAAGAATATCCTATCGTGATCAAAGGGAGAGAAGACCACGGGTCGTTGGCTCAAGGCAGTGCAAACTGTCCAGTTACCTTTGGTCAATACATGTGGATTGTTCGAATATCGCTAGACAGACGAGTGAAACGCCGTGGACTTGGGGTCATGGAAGAAAGGGGACCTACAGAGCCCTAGCACTGCAGATATAGCCGTATAGTGAAGTGAGGCTGCATAGTCATTATTAGGATGGTATTTCTCTATCCTTCTGGTGAATTTAGGCAAGGAACACTGTCATTTTATATCATACCACCCTTAGAATGAGACGCAGTGCTTGCCTTTAGTCTAATTATTACACTTTTGCGTACTGAACTCGAGGGTTTCAGCCGGAAACCCGATTCCTCATAGTTCAGCTGCACAACCCTTGGTTGCCATCGAATCCTTAATCCAAGGAGGGCCATGGCATATAATTTGTGTTTTAGTACATTTTAAAAATAGAGATACTTCGTCACATGGAACATCCAAACATAAGAGGGTTAAGGATCATCCAAAACCTTCGAAAATGCTTGTATAGGGTGGCTTTGATTGAGCCACGGTTCCGCCCCGTATTGGTGACCCGGAAGCCCTAGCCCCTGGGAGGAGGGGTGATTATGATTTGTCAAGCTATACGGGATTATATCAATAGTATAATGTACTGTCTGGAAAAGTATATATCCAATAGCTTTCAGTCCGGCGTTTATTTCGGCTGATAAGTCTCTATGGGAGTGACTCAAACACAGCAAGCATTTTTTTTTGTCAAGTATAAACCAATTGTACACTGGCTGAAAAGGTAGTTAGCTGATCTCCAATCTGCCTGTGCCATGAACCTATCCGTGAGTCAGATGCTGCCTTCTTTAATTAAAGTACATCGTAGACTGCGCCGCCTTCACCGTGACTCATGAAACCAGGGAATCCAAAATCTTATTGTTCTGTGGCTTGATGAGGACTACAAATCTCTAAGGATTCTGACAATGATGTAGTGAAATTGTTCGACGGATGCTATGATTTGGATTCTACATGTTGATAATTCACTGAGACATAGAGTTGGTTCGCTTTTGTTGGCAACTATTGATACGTTCTTATATATTTAATCTACGCATAGGTAGCCTGTTGATTTGTGTCTTTGGTATACTATTAGGGTAGTTTTGAGTTAGCACAGAATCGAATATTATATAGGAATGTTTGTCTCATTGCAATTGAGATTGTGGCACTATCCAATTATTACGCCCCATCTGATCGCCAAGGATCATATTGCTAGTGGACGGACGAGTATAGACTTGGATATTGTCTTGATTAGACCCTTGATTCCAGTTAAGGAGAGTTTTAGCTTGGAGGGACAGCAGTTGCGAGATGGGAGGCAATATATGATGGAGGCTTTACTGGGACTGATGGTTATGGACAATATAAAATGTTATTGACTATGCCATTGGCATCTATACAGGGTTTGAGTAGTTAAATACGTACATAGTGACTAGACCACGATCCTTCAACGGAGCAAAGTAGTCCCGTACAGCGGGGATGCGTATCCTACTAGTGAAGTTGATATGGATTTAGGACTTGTTTGCAGTTACATTTACACCAGGCCAGTGAGTGGAATCATATGGATTGTATAGTATGGAGCTACTTGGCGGTATGATCAAGATAGTATTGCGGTTGAGTGTGAGCACTGAAGCAAGGCAATTATGATACATGGATTAATGACGTCGACTACTGTTCAAAAAGAAAGGCGTTTGCTAATAAAGATGACTCATTTCAAATTATAGATATTGTTCTCAGTTTCTTTTATCCTATTTCATTTTATTATTTTCATTTTATTTATTTTTCGCTGATTAATTTTCGGCTGTAGCAAGAAAGGAAAGAATCCGGATTGGGATCCATCTTGGCGTAAGATTTGCCGTAAAGGGTAAAGACTGGTGGCCACCCATCCCGTTCAGCTAATAACGAGAAGGGGAAAAACACCAATTGGGTGGTGGGATCCTATTGGAAAACGTCCTGACCCTAATACTAATTTAGGAAGTACGTAGTCCTGGCCCGGGGGCCTATTACTACGAACACTGCAAGAAGTTATAGGGACATGTACTATAGCAAAACTACCCAATTTCTATCTATCTAATCCTACTAGAGCATTTCTAACGTTAAGCTTGGGGTATAGCAGACTGGGTATGGAGTACTACCGCAGACTACAGTAAGTAGTACTTCACCTAGGAGACTGTGGAGACATTCAGAGGTGGGGCTCAAGATACGCAGTACTCACGGACCTTTTTTACACAATAAGTACATGATGGGAAAAGTGGATCGGTGCATCTTGGCTGCCCTTTTTTGCTGCCAATGAAGACAATAGCTTAACCGTTGGAGAAGTCTGGAACGCTAGGGTAAAATTCCAGGTTCCCAGCTGGCACTGGCACCCATGATTCATTCATCTCCAGCCAACTGCCCTACTCGGACAATACCCTCTATTCTAGTGGTATGCCGAGATTTTTGCCTTCTCCGGCCTTACCGGCCAATCAGCCCTTATGTAGCCATACGGTGCGAGTAATTTTCTTTTGCGACACCTAGAATGGTGGGGCCCTGGAGAGATGATCATCGAATCTCTTTGCAACATTATGCTTACAAAAACCAAAAGAACTGTCTTATATGACGTCCAATGGCCTTAGGGTAGTGAAGCTTGGCTTCCTCTTTAATCTAGCACACGAGACCTGTAAACTGGTGCTGCCTGTAGTCTAGTCACGGCGACTGGTATATAAATCAGCCTTCGTGTGCGATGGTTGAGGATACATCAAGTTGATCTCTCTACATCAGGAATTCCTTGCGAGGCACCAGGCTTAAGAAAAGCCGTGGATCTACCATGCCGGCCCATCTTCACGCTCACCCACATGGCGGCACCCCTCTGGCTGCTAATCATGAAGCTGAGAGTCCCTCGGATACAGTATCCTCTCCTCGGGTGTACTTGTCTCACGACGATGAAGATGCCATCGCGGAGATCCGTCGGACCTTGACTGAGATTAGCCATCATAGCCCCCAACAAGGTTATCCTGAGCCACATTCTTCCTTTGACAAGTTTTTAGAAGCAGAGTTGCAAGCCGGCCGGAAAAAGTCGAATCTCGGAGTTTGCTTTCAGTCGCTATCAACTTGGGGGGATGGGGAAGAGCACACCGATGTCAAGACCTTAGGAACGGCACTGTGGCGCACATTGACATTCCAAGATGTCTATGAGTGGACTATTCAGCCCTGGCTTTCTAGGAAGGAACCACAGAGCGGACGTCCGTTGATTCGCGATTTCTCAGGCGCCGTTCGAAGTGGTGAGATCATGCTGTAAGTACACCTACGTCTGTACAGCAATGTACCGAGAAAGATGTTCTCAGACTCACGACTCGTCAGGGTGCTGGGACGACCAGGAGCTGGTTGCTCGACATTTCTTCGAACAATCGCCGGCCATCACTCTTCGTTCCTCGGAGTAACAGGGTCTTTGGACTACTCTGGTCTCAGCCTAGAAGAGGTTAAAAAGCACTATCGTGGCCAAGTGGCCTATGTACCAGAGGACGATGTACATTTCCCTACACTCACGGTGCAGCAGACGCTGGAGTTTGCACTCCAGAGTAAGACACCCCAGAGATACCAAGACCGGATTTCTCGTTACCTTGAGATCTATGGCCGCGTGTTCGGTATGTCCCATACGATGAATACATTGGTCGGTAACGAATACATTCGGGGTGTTTCTGGTGGAGAACGCAAGCGTATCTCAATTATCGAGTCCCTCGCAACGGATTCTTCTGTTTCATGTTGGGATAATTCCACCAGGGGGCTTGACGCGTCATCCGCTTTGGACTATGCTCGAAGTCTCCGAATCATGACAGATACATGCGGTAAGGCTACGCTAATGACACTGTATCAAGCATCAGACGCCATTTACGACCTGGTTGATAAGGTTCTTTTGATTGACGAAGGGCGCATGCTCTACCAAGGCCCAGCTCAGGAAGCAAAGCGTTACTTTGAAGACTTGGGTTACGCGTGCGCTGAGATGCAGACAACCTCGGACTTCTTAACGAGCATAACAGTGCCTGAGAGACGCAGGTTCCGACCGGGTTGGGAGACCCGAGCCCCCAAGGGACCCATTGAGCTGGAGGAAACATTCCGCAAAAGCCCAGCCTATCAGAAGGTCCAGTATGATGTACAGCACTATGAGGATCAACGCCTTGGCGGAAAAAGTGTCCGGTGCTCGCAGACTGATTCGGACGATGGCAGTCTGGAAGACTTCAAGAAGGCCATACAGACAGACAAGTCCCGTTTTGTCTCTCCTGAATCCCCGTATACGATCTCCGTATTCCGACAGGTGGTGCTTTGTGCAAAGCGACAGCTGTGGCAGATCCGGGGACATATGTCTCCTTTGTATATCAAGATCATATCGTCTGTTGTCTATGGGTTGCTGGTTGGTTCCATGTTCTATAACCAGCCGCAGACTACTGCAGGGATGTACTCTCGGGGAGGAGTCATTTTCTACTCCTCCATCCTGCTCGCGTGGCTCCAGATGTCCGAATTGGAAGAAGCAATGCAAGGGCGGGATATTCTCAGCCGTCAAAAGAAGTTTGCGTTTGTTCGACCCAGTGCTGTATGTTTGGCCAGAGTCATCACCGATTTTCTCATAGCGGCGGTGATCACGTTTCTGTATTTGATCGTGGTCTACTTTTTGTCTGGCTTGAGGTCCGATGTAGGTTGCTCTTCTGTGTCTAGTATGGAAACTCTCACTAACTCTCTGACCAGGCCGGGGCTTTTTGGATTGATTTCTTATTTATCTATCTATGTACCATCTGTTTAACGGCTCAGTTCCGATTGTTTGCCGCGGCATCTTCTAACTTTGAAGTTGCTTTGCGGTACTGTGGCGTATCTGTACTGTTCTGCATAGTTTTTGGTGGCTATGTCCTCTCAGTAGACAGGATGATAAAAGACGTTCCTTGGGTTGGTTGGATAGCGGTAAGAAGTCCAGAAGGATCCCAGATTGTGCTCGAGGCTCATTCCACTCTGTAGTATACTACACC